GCACTTGTGCCAGTGCAAAAACACTGAATACTTTCTCGAGCTTGGCGTAATATGCAATAAGTAATTGATGCTGTTGAATATAGTTTCTAAACGTCGCATAATGTTTGTCTGCAGAATCTGGTGTGAGCGATTTCGAATTTTCAACGTATTTTTCTATGACAATATTCGGTATATTTTTTAGTCTGTATTGTAATATACGAAATTGACAAGCTGTGTGCAGATTCATGATGCATAACAGGTTGTCGAAGCACATATAGCACACGCCGACTTGATACAAGCTCAAAGACTGCGGGGAAATTGTGTTGAAAATTTAATTATCTTAATTTTAATTAAATAATCGATAAGTAGGCTCGATAGAGTTTCTAAAATTAATAACTGCGCTTTAACAAAAAATTAAAAAAAAGAACGATCGATTGCTTCGTCTTCTTATAGTGTTAACCCCTTATAGGATACTATCAGAAAGAATTTAGTTTTCGTTAAAACATTTTCTGTAGCAGGCAAAGGTTGTCAATACCTGCACTACAAACGTTATCTCAAAGTAAGGTGTGACGTAGAATATATCCATCCACATCCTAAACGGAAGTAATCTGTCTGTTCCGTTTCTTTCAATATTAGCTGCAATTAAAATTCATGTTGTCCATTTTTGTAGTTTTCTCAGTTTCCTTCTTTTGTTAGGTACTCTTTTTTTGTACAATGATTAAAAATTTTCTGAATTCTCAGCAATACTTACTACACGAGAGAATTGTTGATTCACGTTTGAATAAATAATAGTACATTTTATATGATATAAATCATTACGATTTAAATGCGATTTCGAGTCGCTATAATAGATATTATAGATAATGCTATGATTGTTATTGACTAATCACTTCTAATTTTTCAGGTATGAATTAATCAACTTACCTATGATGGGACTTACAACGTAGCTAAATACCGTCGAATGCGCACACCAAGTGAAGGTGCAAATATAGAATGCACAGACGCTTTTGCATGAGTTCATAAGTGTCTTCTCCTGAATGTCGTAAGTCCCATGGAAGAATTTCTCTTGCATGTATCGAATTAATTCGAAGAAATCCTTTTTATGTGCAAGCACAATAAGTAGCTTGATGGTAGGCAGCATCAAGCTTAAAAAGTTGACCGAGACGTAAAGACATTCCTGTGGACAATACAATAAAAAATATGCATTAAGTTCAGGAACGATACTTTTCTTAGGAAAAACTTAGAAAATGTAATAAAAAATAATATAAATAATATATATAAAATTTTTTGAATAAAATATATGTTATGGACATAATTAGGGCACATGATGACCAAATTATAAATATGTTTTATAGGACTATACGTGCAAAAAGTGAACATGATCCGCGTGGGAATAAAGTGGCGCGTCTTATCCGGTATGATATTTTCCTAATTAATGCACACTTACAGTAAAATCGCTACAGGAGTAGTAAATGTCTAAGCATAGTTCCCAACTGAGAAGTAGCATCCCACTAATTGTGTAAATCAGAACGATATTTCTGCGTCGTTGCTCATGATTATTAGCTGCCATCCAAACGCCAGAAAACTTCATAAGGCGAGTTGTTATTGCCATAGAAATGTCGTTACTGTGCCCCTTCATTGTATTAAATTTTAATTAATGTAATGTTTTGATTTACATATTGAATACGGACTAAAAAGTGCGTATCGATTTTAACAACGTGTCGAGGGTGTTCGGACGAACGGCATATGACATTGATCTACTGACATCCTTTTATTCGCAGAACATATAAATTGTATTTATTCTTATTGATTTTGTAATACAGTTGTCGATGTATTTGGTGCGCTTCATTCTAGAGGTAACGTGTAGGTATCATAAGTTATGCATTATCCTTGGAGGAGTACCCTCTGTGATCTTCAATTCTAACTGACAGATGTAGCGTGTTGCAAATGAAGGCTGCACGCTACCAAATACAGCATTTATAATTGCGAATGGCTGTGTCATTTTTTCTGGTGTGGAAAACTGCGTGAGTGTTGCATGTTTTAGAAGAATTGTTTCGAAAGAGGAAGGATATTTATGAATTGGTAGATGTTTTGTCTTGGAGACACATTTTTACTAATGTGAATTTTGTGTGTATTGTAATATTGATGAGGTGATACAAATGGAAAAAGTAGTTTGAGCTATTATAGTATACAGGATTACTCAATCAATGGATTGAAACATTTAATAGAAATACAGTGTTCTCAATGGCAGAGAATTAACCGGATAGTATAGCAAGTTTCCCAGTGTCGAATATTTTATAGAAATAAAAAAAAAATTTCAGTTTTACTACTTTTCAAATGAGTTATAATAAAAAAAAATAGGGACATAGCACAAATGAACCAATAAACACGCGACGTAGTGTTACACTCAACACTTGATTGTAGTAGTCTGATGCACTTCGCAATTTAGTAAGAATGTCACGTGCACATCGCCGTGTCTTTACCTTTTCTCATTTGATTTCGAAAAAGAACGTTTTTCGATCTGGACTTCCTACACGAACTCTTTGTATCGAAGACTGATGTCTATTGCATGAAATCAATTCAGTATGGTCTTTCATTTAGTAACCCTCATTCGGTTCGCAGTCTTCAAGTTTATTCTTCGCCCTACTCGTGTATTCCGGTGTAAGTTACGTATAGTATCGATGATTTATGCATATCCGCTTTGTCAAGACGGATGCAGCCAGTGTTTCAGAAACCTTTGGTCGATAGCTGAGTGAAACGTGACAAAAGTACTGTTCTCTGCTCTCAAAGAGGAAGAAGAGTACTGTCTTGTAAAACGAAGGTTTGTTATTATTTTGCGATAGTTTCCAGGTATTTGTCGGTAGCAAAATGTGAAATGACAGGTGAAAGAAACATCAAGACATATTTACATTTACAAACATATTTAATTCGGTAAATGTTAAAATTCCTGTAACTCAGATTGTTCTCAGTGTATAATTCAATTCAACATGTGCAATCTTCTGTAAAATATGGCTGGTGTTCGTATAACTTTAGCAGATAGAGAAAATCGAGGGAAAATTCGAATGTCTTCATTTTTCTCTTTATGAGAAGAGTACGATGTGAATAAAAAAAACTTGTACCATCAATTAGAGGGCCAATGCCAATTTTGCGTGCAGTTCTTTTAACCTGTACCTTGCGTGCATTTCTGAGGGGGTTTTATATTACGTAAATAAAATCTATTTTTTTAATGTAGGCTCCTAAGTTGACTTTTATTGATTCGCTGTAGCATGAGTGCGTGGGCGATGGAATCCCCCTTAAGGGGGGAGTCCTTAAAAGATAAAGAGTAAAAGATTTATTATTATGTCGTTGCCAACAGGGAAAGGTGACAACTAAACAAGCCATTGCTTCATTCTTACGATTAGCAATATACAGTCAGTGTAATAAGTATTCGTACAGGAAGCATTTATTTTAAATGGGGTGCTGTACGAATACTTTTTACACTGACTGTACATATTTTAGTAGGTGAGTGGCACAAAGATTTAGCGAATTTTCTTTTGAGTACTATTTTACTTGGATATATAACTAGTACACGTTATCGATGTTATTGTTACCAAAAGTGTATGCATTGTAGTATGTATTGCGTAACACAGTTCGGTGACACTTAAGTTGCATTCACTGCTTGCCCCTGTATTAGCGTGAAGTATGACATTGCGGTACTCACTATCTGCAAAAAGAAATATCAAATGAATTCAGTAATTTGAAACTTTCTACTCAATATATAAAAGATTACATTTATTATGTGATTTTATTGCGTTAACTTTAATGAACTATCGTATTAAGAGTGTTCATTTTCAAACTATATTCGAAATAATTGATCAATGTCTTTATAAAAATTATACTAAGAGCAGCTAATAACACGGTTTCAGCTGAAAGCCGCGTTAAAAAACTGGAAACAATACAATATAAAATATTATGCACAGTGGTGAATTCCTATTAGTACATTCGCAACAAGGACCTTGGAAATGATCTTGAAATCAAGACGGTTAAAGAAGAAATTGCAAAACTCCCAACAAGATACAGAGAGAGAGAGACTAAATAATCACCCAAATACATACACTAGCTAATGAATTACTTATTATGAGGATTCCACCAATGAGGATACCATCCTAAGGACAATGGACATACATGTGTAATGCAAAATATGACCCACAGAGAAAATATCCACATATTTTTTATCATAATATTAATGAAATTTGTGGAATGTGGAACTTTAAAAACAAATTATAAATTAACATGATATAATAATAAAAATTACATTGTGGGGAATATCCAGCACGTCATATTCATTACCTTGGTGAATGTTTCCAAAGATACAGGAAAGAACCCGTGAGCAGTCACGCAGCAAGATTTTCTTGATCTCAAAATCACAAGTTTCAAGTCTTTTCGCAGCGCTCTTCCATTCTTGTTCATTGACAGATGGTTCCACGGAGCTCCGTACATCGCCATTGCGACATTTCTGCTGTCATGCATTAAACAATCACAGCTGTATGTAAACATGAACAGCTGCAACATACAGCATATCATGTGAAATACAAAAATAGAACGCGTTACAATCGGAATCTGCGCCTGTGGACATGTATAACACATATGTATTTGACATTGGTGTATTCTACATATCAGATCTAAGCACTTGTGAAATAACATTATTTAAAATATTATTTCAAATAATACGTTACTTTGTTTCATAATTATTTAAAATAATTAATAAATTGTTCTTCTGAATTTAAAAACAACTAAGACGAAATAGCAAACAATCCTACATTTTTTATCCAAATTCAAGAAGAAATAAATGTATTAATATTTATCAAGATAAAACTATAAGATTGACCATCTATGCTAAATGATTATTCGATTATAAGACACGTTTTATTAAAAGTATAACACCCGTCTTCCATCGTCAGCATCAGCGAAACGATTACTTTTTTAACCGACTTCGAAAAGGAGGAGGTTAATCAATTCGAAATGTATATTTTTTTGTGACAACATTACATTGATTCGGACAAAAATCTCTTACGGATGAACTTTTTAAAGAAAAAAAATTTTACTCAAAACAAATGACTACAAAAATATCTCAAAATAGATTGTTTTCATTGCATATTATTTTGGGGATTATTTCTTTCGTTAAATTTGTAATTCAGAAATAATAAAATAATTCGTTATTTGAAATAGCTATTTTTTTAAATGCATTGATATTATTTTTATTTTCAAATGACTGCATTGAAAATGACGGTCTAAAATAAATTATTTCAAATAATAATCTTTTATTTTCACTTCAATTAAAATATGCTCAGGTCTGCTATATACTAGGTCATCCCACAAGTGTTTATATTTATTACAAAAACTACAGAAATTTGTTAGCGACAGTATCAGACTGCTAGAGAAGTAGAGAAAGATCGTAAAAGCAGAGTAATTACATTTTTATAACACTTAATTACACTTATATTTCATATATTAATTTGGATAGCAAAACGATAAGTGAAATGAACTTGTGGTATGACCTATTCTATATACTAGGTCCTGACTAGTACTATTTGATATTCGTCAAGACAGATCAGTGTGCTGAAAACTAACACTTGTCCAGTGAACAGAGACTGAATACTTTCTCAAGCTTGCCACAATATGCTATGAGCTCCTGATGCTGCAGTACACAGCTTCTAAACATGGCGTAGCACTCGTCCTCTGATCGCGCCGAATACGGCTTCCAATTTTCGATAAACTTTTCCTTGCTCTCACTTTGTAGATTCTCCAATTTGTGCTGAAGTATTCGAAATTGACCAGCTACGTGCAAATTCAGGATACATAAGATATTATCCATGGACATGTAACACACGCCGTCGTGGTATAGAAAAACAAGCTGCATGAAATTAAAATACAGAATTTAATTATTTCAATTAGAATGGAGTATTATAAATTCTAAGGAAGTGCGGTATTTAAAACAATAACATCAAGTCATCATGTCGAAGAATTTTAATACTTTGAAAATAAGTACTAATCCGATACAGTGCATTGTGTTTTACTATTTTAAATATTTTATCAAATAATAACATAACAAATTTTCAGATTTCATTTCGACTTAAAAATAAACATGATATACAATACACATAATGTAATTATAAAATAAATAAAATATATACAATTTCTTAATAGTTTATATAATAAAGTATGCAGTCAAATATATATAAGAAATAAAATGTTGTTTATGTTATGGAACAAAACTTACTCATAAACCGTGTCTATTACCTGAGAATGCTTACTCGTCAAAGGGTTAATTATTATGTGGGAACTTTTTTTCAGGATCAAGTCTGCGCACCAATACAAATCAAACAGTCCTGTATCATTTAGCGATCTGAGACTTTATTGTTGAGATATAAGCAGTTGGAATTTACAGGTGTGACTTCACCGTCATAAAGCCTACAATGACACTCACCTATTGTTGTGGTTGTCCATTGTGTCTACTAACGAGCAGATCACCCTGTACCTGCCTCGATGAAATGTCATAATGGAGACGGCTAATTTCTCCTTTTACTCCTTTTGTATAATATAATACTTTTTAACGAAAATTCAGTATAGAATTTCAATATTACCAACACAAAAGCCACGAGGTAAGTAGTAGACTGCAGATCGTAATGGATTTTTTATTTCGGGGTAAATATGCAATTCTTGGGATCCTTGTGAAATGAACTTAATACGGTTAAACGAAAATCTCATTTAACTAATCTCAGGCAACTAAAGGTCCTGAATGAAAATTGTCTTAGCTTTTCAAACATTCATGAACAATTTTCTACGATCATGCGTTCGCAAGCTGTAGACGTTCAAAGTAAAAAGTTTCTCTTTTGCTTGGATAGCGAATACCTCGGTCAATAAAAATCATACAGTAAAACCAAAAAAACGAAATTAAAGAGGAATGTTTGCTTTATAAGAGCCTTCCATTGGACTTATATGAAACAATTTTTTTTACCCCATGCATACGGCCAAACTAGACAAAAATTTCTGAAACTTCGCTTTTTGCGCTTTATCTTGATAAAACAGTATTATAATCAACGACAAAAAAAATGAATCCTTGATTCAAAAACTAGAACCTTCAAGTTTTAAAATGCGTTTTTTAAATATTTTTTGCGATCATTTTTCGCAGAGATACAGTCATTCGAAAATGACAAAAATTTGCATATATGCTTAGAATCGACTTATGACATATAGCTATCATTCGTGACAATTGACCGACTCACCATTTAGCGGCCAAACACCCGAAGCTCGAGTTCGTGTGTATGAAAGAGAAAGGAATATCTAAGACAGGGACAGCAACAGTGTGAGAAAGAGGAAGAAAGGAACATGAAAGACAAGGATAGAGCTAAGGTTATGGAAACAGAGAGAAAAACTACATGAAAGACAAGGATAGCGACACTTCACCGAATGCTAATAGATATTATCAATAATTTTCTGATTTTCTAAGAATTATTCATGCACTTTTGCAATTGTATTATCAAGTATAGACCACTAGTAACATTCAAGGACCATTTTCCATACGATTTTCCTTGTTTTTATTGTTATTAAATAACAATGAATCATTGTTCGTCAAGGTTAATCCTACACTGGTACTTGGAATCATTCAGATTATTAATTATTAGCAGATAATTGATGTACTTTATCATGTACTGAATGTAGTCTGGACCTGTAACAACATTCAAGGACCACTTTCGATACGATTCTGATTGTTATTAAGTAATAATAAATCATTCTTAGTTGACGTATTGAATTTTATTCGATTGACTGGTATCCAGTGTGTGAATGCGAGAGAGAACGTAGTATATGCGACGAGGGTAGCAACAGTTAGGTGGCGCCATCTACTAACAGAACGCTCAAGCGTGTCGTGAACTAGTTCCATCATTTTGATGCTAGATGGCGCCAGTTGTTTAAAAAAGAACATAAAAATCGAGAAATTCTATTACAGGTAAATTTTTTAATGCTACATGAGCGTTCTCATTAAAATTCATTACTCTATAGCATAAATTAATAAATTAATTTACATGTAAACGTATGGTAAAAAGTTGGCGCCGTCTAGTTTCACCATTTCGTTGCTAGATGCATGAATTATCCTTAGAAAATCAGAAAATTATTGATAATATCTATTAGCATTCGGTGGAGTGTCGCTATCCTTGTCTTTCATGTAGTTTCTCTCTCTGTTTCCATCACCCTCGCTCTATCCTTGTCTTTCATGTTCCTTTCTTCCTCTTTCCCACACTGTCGCTGTCCTTGTTATAGATATTCCTTTCTCTTTCATACACACGAACTTGAGCTTCGGGTGTTTGGCCGCTAAATGGCGAGTCGGTCAATTGTCACGAATGATAGCTATATGTCATAAGTCGATTCTAAGCATATATGCAAATTTTTGTCATTTTCGAATGATTGTATCTCTGCGAAAAATGATCGCAAAAAATATTTAAAAAACGCATTTTAAAGCTTGAAGGTTCTATTTTTTGAATCAAGGATTCATTTTTTTGTCGTTGATTATAATACTGTTTTATCAAGATAAAGCGCAAGAAACAAATCAAAAAATTATTTTCTTTAAGTTCATAGAATTCTGTATAAATAGAGAATGGCAATACCTCTAGTACAAACAGTATCTCAAAGTACGGTGTAAGGTATGTAAGTTCCAAAGACACCTTATATGGAAGGTCTCTCTCTGTTTCGTTTCCTCCAAAGTTAGCTGTAATAAGAAAACAATTCATGCACAGGTTCGACATTTTTTGAATTTTCGGATTTCTGAACAATAATACATGAAACATGAGAAAATTGTTAAATTTCATTACAATATATGGTAACCTATTTTATATGGTTGAAAACATTCTGATTTATTTACGGTGCCGAATGATCGACATAGAGGAAGAGTACTGAATGTAACAACTGTAATATGGTAGAGTGTTGTACCAGAGAATACATTTTGAGAACAAGTTTGCAAGTTTAAAATAAATAAACTTCAATATGGATGTAAACAGTTTTTAGAAACAGCAGCGTGTCTACTATCAATTTATATCCTTATTTAAGTCAATTTATGTACAATACTTATATAAAATTAATAAAGTAAAATACTTACAAATGTTCCATAGTACAACATGTTAATATACCATGGAACACTCATGATTTTTTGGGAAATGACAACACTAATTGGTAGAAGACTGCCGTAAGCAAATTTTAATGTGTCTAGATAATTGAAGAACAGTTATTAAAATATTTTGAAATAGACTATTTCAAACAAACAAAAATCATAATTTTACCTAGAAGGTTTATGTTTACAATAATCACATATACCGACTTTCAATTTTTTTTTGTAATCCTACACAAAGTTCATGGGTCCAACATTTGCAAAGTATGCATCGACTCCACTGTTCATCATGTGTATGTGTTCCTTACTACAAGAGGGCTCCACATTGTTTAATTAACATTGTACAGCCTAATGGTTACATTAATGGCAATAAACAAATAATGCATTTTACTCGCCAATGAATATGGAAGAACGTGCCACAGTAGTTGAACTTCAACAGGTTCTCAAATAAACATACACTGTCGGACAAAATTAAAGGGACACTTCTTTAAAACGTCATATCTATGAGAGTTTTCAACAAATTTTGGAGAAACTTCGCGAGGAGTAGTTTTGAAGTGTCCTCTAAATGTGCGCAAAGTTGCATTGGTGACGGTTGACAGGAAGGGGTTAAGTCACCCCCGTAAAGAGGGGCATGTCAAAAAACGCCACTTCTGAAGAGGCCAGGGGTGACGGAAGGGGTTGAAAAAATCAAAAAAAACCTTTGGGGCGACCCTCCTCGATGCCCTCAACAAAATGCACCCCTCAAAATCCCTCTCGGGCAAACCCACCCCTCACAACACCCCACCCCCTCCAAAATCCACAATTTTTGGACTTCAGTCCCGAATTTGGGCTCAATGCATTCCCTGGAATCTCCTGATCCAGGAAATGCCAACGCCCACGCCGTGCGCCCCATAGGCACCCCTTGGAAGGATGGAACAGTTTGCCACTTTTCAACACCCTTCGTAAGGGAACACTTCCACACCAAGTATGAATATCTCTTTTTGAACTGTGCCATGAGTTTGAAAAACCCCTTAAAAGATCTACAGACAGTCAATTTTGAGTTTCTGTAGACATATCACCGTCCATTATTTATTTACTTCAATGGGTTCCTATATTATCTATCCACTCATATCTGACAAGTGTTTCTCCACGTTTTCGCCACTTCTTTTCGACAAAAATGTAATCTTCTTGCATTCACAAATACGATCACGAACGTTCCATAAATGAATGGATTAATTCGCGATCCAAAGGAACACTGATCGCAGTTGTTTAATGACTCGAACCTCGTGCACCTTGTATAAAGATTATATGTCGAATCGTTCTTCGAATTGTAAGAAATTTACTTTAGCCTTTGATCTACTAACTCCCTCTAGTCATTGTTCGTATCCCTTGTATTTATAAAATGTCTCAATGTGGGCGCAACTTCAATCGCTACCTTTCAACGCGGGAGTGATGTATGGAATCGATGATTTATGTATGGTTTAGGGAGCATTGCTGAGTATCTAACTTGTAAATATAAATATAGGCTACCTAATGGGTATAATTTTTTTAAGATAGAAGTTTTCCCGTAAGAAGGGACTGTCACTCGTTCAAGAAGAATAGTTCAATCTTGTGAAGCGATGATTTATTACTACGTCTTGATAGTGCATAATGGATTGCCACTGAAGGAATTTCTAGTTAGACATTACTCCAGATCAGCGTTTACTAATATACTTGATTAGATAAGTGCTAAGTTCTATACTTTTATATGGCGTTGGAGCTACCACGTATCTTTTACAGGAGAGATGGTTCATTCCAACCTAACCTGACATTTCTTTCATGAATATCTCAACACGCCTGCAATATTTTCTAAATTTAAACGCATTTTTCTGATGTAAACCGCATATAAGCTTTCGAATAAAACCAAAATCAATCAAATCGGTCCACGTACAACTGAGATACCGTAATATCATGTCATCAATCTGTCAGAAACTGTATTTTTCGTATGATTTTCCCGTCATAAACCCTTAGCCAATAGGAGCTAAGCAAAAGCCGAGTGTCGTTCGTCGACCCTCGGAATCATTCGGTTCGGCATGGCTCGTCGGCCATCGAGCGTTGAGAGTTGAAACAGATATCAAATTCATAACCTGCCAAGTATCAAAAGTTTTTATACTATTGCATTATTAATTATATTTATATCAGCAAAATGTTTTCAATTTAGACTTTTTATGTAGGGTTTAATAACAAATTACAGCCAGTGTTGTAAAGTGTTGATCGATCCTGATTACAAGGTAAGTTGTCAAAATCTGAATTGTCAGGTACCTTACAGAATAGATCCATACCACTAGTGTTTTTAATTTAGACTTTTTATGTAGAGCTTATAGAAATGGAGATTTTCTCATTTCATCATTAACATTAATATTTTTTGCAGCAAGAAAAAAAATTGCATAATTATTTATAAATTGAACGAATATGTGTTTATAATTAATAAATTATATAAAATATATATATGATCGTCACTGGCACAAGATATACAACACTTACATTAAAGAAATGTCACGATGGAGCGTCACTCAGAAAGTCACTCAAACGTCTTAAAAAAATATCGCACTCGCGTAAAAATCACTCCCGCTTCGATCACGTCAGTAGTCACCACTTTGTGGGGATGGATAGAAATTATTATAACGTAACACCCACGATTAAACTCAACAAAGCAAGAGCGTTTATTGATTACGCATAAATATACGTTACTGACTGACGACTGCCGTGTCCTGCCGGAATTCATACCTGGTTCAGGACACGGACAGCGAGTCCGGGAAAAACCTAAGTTCGCACATTTGGTCGCCAAATGGTCGCCAAATGTGCGAACGGTCCTTGGCAGGCTCGAACGCCTGGGACCTACCTGACAAATTGCTAAACTAGTAAACGAAAAACAAAATTAGAAAGCGGAGGTCTGGTAGTGACGAAGTCGCTACAGTAGTAAAATTTATTATTCGACAAATTTACATTCGGTATCGTGTAATAAATCTCAAAGTCCGTAAGAACGAGATCGTAATCACCATCGCTCAGATGGATGGCAGGAAAATAGCTTACTGCGAGAATGCTACCTTTGCCGGTGAGCGTTAACGTCATCGACAAGTTCAAACGAATACTGGCAATGACTGCCCTTAAATTGATTGTCAATTGGCTGAAGATTGCCAAAACTATCGAAATATATGGTGCGAGTCCCCCGTTTTGCGTATGCAACCCGATAAGTACCAAGTCCCTCGAAAGTATCCAAATTTACGATTCTGCTCTCGTTCCTGTGTATCCCATCTGTTGGTAAAGTATTGCGCATAAAAATACCCCTGAAATGTGGAATACGCATACGCTTTGCCAGATGCTGTAATTGGACGTCGGTGGTTACACCTTCGGGCATTTTAATTTTGGCGTCTTTTTTTCTCTTTGAAACACCTCGTCCGCGTTTGTACGACGCGAGATGTACTCCGCGACCTCCCATAGCACGATTATGCCGTTGCAACAGCTCCAGCTGTTTTCACGCAGACTTGGCGTCATTCATGGCCTTAGCCACGCCAGCACCACCACCGGTTAACGCTCCTATAGTTGATAACGCAGGTAAGAGAAACGGGAGGATACCACCACGCTTTGCTATCGGTAGAGCTCGCTCCCCCTTGTTCTTCTTACTGCGACTCTTTTTCTTCTTGAGCCCCATTCCAAGCTTCATCTTAGCTTTCATCGCAGTCCAAACAGCTGAAGCAGTTGCCCTTTCGCCGAATGTAGCGTCTTTCCCAGTTATACGCTGGCGTGCTCGATCAGCTAAAATTCGATTTGCCTCGTGACGATTGGTCAAATCTTTGTTTCGAGAGTACCCAATATCGTGTGCTCTACAGGCTACATCCAATGGATTTATACCTCGACCGCCGCGTGCTAAACGTTTGTCCAGGCGTGTACCCGGTCCGCAAAACTGATACCCTGGTACGTGTAGCTCAAACGGTAATTTGTTTATTAGAGTATCTACAAGTCCTGCTCCCGTCCTTCTACGCATAGGTAACAATCTTTTTTCATAGGCGTTGGTCTATATATGTGCGTACGTTGATCGGGACGATTGTAATGCAAGAGACACCTACGATAAGACTGGACTTCAGGATCAAATCTCATATGTTTCAGCAGTTTATCCCACGCGTAATGAATGTCGCTAGCAAACCGATTCAAAAGTACTATCTTTGGCACGTACACCGACAGTATGAGAGCCATTTCTACACTGACTGATGTCTGGGTCATGCTAGTATAAATACCCCCCCCCCCCCTCCAACGTCAACACATAACTTTTCTTTCATTTTTTATCATAGCTACGATGCGGTTCGTACGCCAATCATCTGCAATTAGAGTGACTAATGTAGACAAAAAGGCACAGTTTGAGAAAGAGGTACGCAAACATGGAAATATGCTACCGACCTCTATACGTGGTATCATCTGCGGTCCATCGAATTGCGGCAAAACGAACGTGCTGATTAGTTTGTTAGAAAGTCCGCACGGTGTGCGCTTCGAAAACGTATACGTGTACTCGAAATCATTGCAACAACCGAAATTTTGATATCTAGAAAATATATTCTCATCGACAGACTGGTTATTAACCGACTTCGAAAAGGAGGAGGTTACTCAATTCGACATGTATATATATTTTTTTTTTACATTTTCGAATAACAGCGACGTCGTTCCACCGAGCGAGGCACTTCCGAATTCGATTTTTATCTTTAACGACATGGCTTGCGATAAGCAACACGCGGTAAGAGAATACTTTGCAATGGGTAGGTACTCAGGCGTTGACTGTTTCTATCATTGTCAGACATAGGCGAAGATACCGAAACATCTGATACGCGACAACGCGAACCGGCTGATCATATTTAAACAAGATGGTACAAATCTGAAGCATTTATACAACGATCATGTAAACACTGACACATCATTTGAGAATTTTTGCAAATTGTGTACCGCTTGCTGGCAAGAAAAATATGGATTTTTAGTGATTGACAAAGACAGTGCTTTATGGAATGGTCGCTATCGAAAACGATTTAATGACTTTGCGATATCGTAACACGTCCAGTTATATCCGATACGTTCAGTAAGCAGTGTTCCAACATGATCAGTAACAGCGTTGAAGATCGAGAGAGGATAGCGAAACAGATTGCAACAACGAGCGATTTGATTTGCAGAAAGTATCCTGAATTGAAAACCGGTAAAATTGACGAAGAGATTGCGTTGAAGAAACACTTTAAACCTGTTACTGAACCATTGATGACAATTGTCAGCAACACGTTAAGAAATTATGATCTACACAATAACACAAATATTGGAAGCGAACCATTATCAACTCCGAATATCAAGGAATCGGATAAAATACAATCAAATTTGTGGTTAAATTTCTCGAAACAGCCAACTAAAAAAAAATCAAGATTAAGCAGTTTACCCGATATGAACCTGATAGCCTCTACACCGACCTCTACACCCATTAAGTCAGTACCAACAACAACCACAACAACAACAGCAACAACAAAACGCTTAGCAAACGAAGATGTTTTTAAAAGTCCAAACAGCTATCTCTTGACATCTGTTCGAAGTCGTTCGAAGTGTTAATTGTAAACGCCGGAAGGTGAAGAAACGGTATGTAATCATCTAGGTCCACTGAGTCAAAAATACATCGCACCTGTATTACCCGGCGATGTAGACGTTGGTACGGATTACGTGTACGGTGTTTATCTCACCAATGATGGACTGATGCTCGGTAATAAACATATTGACGAGGACAATGCGGATAACATACGATATTCAGCCTGAGGCTGATGAACACAAGTACAGGGACATACTGCTGACAATGAGTGCGCATAAGCACAAGCACAATTCGTATGGTCAAACATTAGGCAACAGCGGATATAAGTATAACCATGTAATCAAGCCTTTATTGCAAGATAAAAAAGTTGGAAAAGGTATACCATGTTCCACGAGATTAACCAAAAACAACATTGATTACGTTCACTGGAACGATCCCAACGAACTCGTAGATCGGCTTCGATTGCTCGAGGCTTCGCGTCAAGCCGGTCACAATGCTCACGACAATTATAAATTCATTATAAATTAAGCTATACTATTCTATAGCTATACTAGCTATAATCATTATAAATTAAGCTACACCTTGGCGATACAGTCAATCGTCATTAAAATGTCAATCAACAAGTATGGGTCATCGTTTGGAAGGATGGAATCATACTATCACTGGAATGGAGTAGTCAGAAATTATGTACGCAACAACGCTCTTTGTGTTATTGGGACCAATTATGACGCAAAGTAGCGCAAAATTCGACGAGTAGCACCGCCTGTAGAGGATGGCGATGCTATCAACAAGCTGTACTTGCACGAAAACATGGTAATTATAAAAAGTCGACAAGACGTATTCGACAAAAAGATGATTACGTTTCAAAATTACGTTCAGAGCTTGAAATATGAGCTGAATAAATTAGAGAGGGTTATTACCAAATTCCGAAATCTAATGAAGATGGATCAACAGCTGGACGTTAAGCCTATTTACCGACCGACAAAGCGGTCAAGAGACCGATCAACCGACCGACCGACAGACTGGTCAACCGTTGCGTTGAGTACCGATTTGATGTTTGATAAGACGTGAACGTCAAGTCTTTGCGTCTGTGTCGAGTCATACATAGCTGCGAAGAAAACTCCTAGTACCGAGAAACGGTGTCTTGTGGAAGAATTGCATGCTCCGACGAGAAGAAATTTTCCCCGAAGACGCGTCATAGTACATGGGTACGACGACTTATGGCAAGTGGACGTGGTCGAGATGCGACAGAGGCTTCCGTTACATACTCACTGTTATCGATGTGCTAAGTAAGCATGCATGGGCCATACCCCTCAAAACCAAAAGTGGAAATGAAGTTTCTACAGCGATCGAAAAGATAATCCGAAACAGTGGAAGGTATTCGAAAAATTTGCAAACCGAAGAAGGAAAGGAATTTTACAACGCAAATGTGCAAAAACTTTTGTCAAAATACAACATAAATCACTATTCAACGTATTCAGTGATGAAAGCGTTAGTCGTCGAGCGGTTCAATCGTACGTTTAAAAACGACATGTGGAAATTGTTTACGCTTAATGGAAATTATAAATGGATCGACTCGCTGCAGCAACTCGTATCAAATTACAATCCGCGTATCATAGAACTGTCGGCATGCCACCAATTGACGTTACACCAACAAACGGCTCGATTGCCGCTCCCGCGCGATTCAGTGTGTGAGCAAATTCAAAACAATTTTTGAAAAAGGGGTACTGAAATATTTACAATCGCCGAGGTTCAGAAAACTAATCCTGCAACGTATCTGCTGAAAGATGTTTATGAAAAACCAATGTTGCTGGAGGATTCTACGAACACGAGTTGCAACGCGTTGCCGATGCTGATGTATACCTTGTGAAAAAAGTGTTACGTCGGAAAGGGAATAAGGTGTACGTGAAATGGTTAGGATTGAATAGTGCACACAATTCATGAATAAATAAAGATAATGTATTGTAAAAAATTAACACTTTTTTTTTAAATTAAATATTCAGTTTTATACATATATTAGCATTATTAGTTACATTGCAGTGTTTTTTATTTACAACTAAATTTATACATCTATTAAAATCAAGGTAAAAATGATTTTCAAAATACATATACTGATATATCTAAAGCGGTATTTTATAATGACCCCACGGCAATGTATCCGTTGAGTCGGGTACGATATACCGCTTATCGTCGTACGGACTCCGAGCGATTTTTGATTCCACCATTGTGTATACTTTGTGTAATTTTGATCGTATACATGTCTGATTACGAATCATTTCAATTTCGTTTCGTAGGCACTGCGCGTAGTCGTCGAAAGTTATCATCCTGGAAGCAACGGTACTTTTTACACCTTTCGCCTTTTTCGTATCTTTTTACCATCTACACGCAGTACATACATTTTCGCTCTGAGTCCAACAAATTCTGTCATTATGGCCCCATTGTTTTCGTCTTTCATCAAACCGGGGACTTTTTTGTTTACAAGCGGTATATCGTGAACGTTCCCTACCGAATAAACGCTGGTATCAAATCGATTAATATTGCGTTTTATCGCCATGTTCGATGGCAACTAAATTTTCCGAAGACACGCTACGGCTGTGGAAATTTGGTTTTTAGATCATTATCTTCGCACCATATTTCCCTTCCCATTTTGTTACTAATTTTACATCGACGTGATTGTGTATCAATTTATGCAAATTCTTTTCAAAATTGTTTGTAGCGAGAGTTCTAAACTTCGTATTTAATTCGATGTAATCGCGGAGCCAGGGTGATTATGCAAATTGGAGGACGCGGTGTATCTTTGTAATACGAATACCATGTTGCGTGCATTGCAGGGCCATCGCCCTCACCCCATGGATGAAGTTGGCGGTACGGCCGTCCATCACCGTACAGTGAACGAGGACACCCCCCCCCCCCCCCCACCCGGCCCCGAATAAGTTACACTAGATATATTTTACGTTATCACTATTTATATATATTATATATCCTTAAGTTAGTTTATTGTTACGTCACGTTAGCTTTATAAAATACTACCTCTTTATACTATACCACTATTATTAGCTATTATTATTATATTATTACACGTTACATAACTAATACACCGCAGAATCGGTTAATAAAGAAAATTTTTTGGGGTCATCAATTTTAATATATTTTTAACAATTAATAATTATATTTGTTAATGTAAAAAAAAAGAAATTAAACAAGCGAGCGACATAACCGCCTAGTTTTATACATTAGTTACTCACTTAATTACGGCAACTTGTACAACCGACAATCGGTGAAAAGGTACACCCTTACTACATAAAAGAGCCTCTCGAGACTGTTTTGTGTCTGGCCAAGAGGGTGATACATCTGGCCTAGCCGAATGGTGTCCCTTTACATCGACCTCACACTGCGCACAGTTAGATCGATAAACTTTTAGAAATGCGCTCGACAAACGATTCGGAAATCGTTTCTCGGGAACCGAATCGTGCGAACTGCGAATCAGCGAAATAGGCGTCGGCGTTTAACGCTAACACATCCGTTGAACTTGGGACCCCTCCCGAATTCAACGGATGCCGAAGTGAAGTTTCTTGAACCGCGGCTCGTGCCATGCGAGGATCAGCTAATATATAAACCCGTGGACACGCCCCACAGCGCTCTTATTCCGCTTTTAGCACGTTCTCACCGTGGT